TGTGTGTGTGTGTGTGTGTGTGTGTGTGTGTGTGTGTGTGTGTGTGTATAAATCATGTTTATAGATTCTTCTACATCTGGCATATGACTTGCACACACAGCAAGACATTCATAACAACTTGTTGAATTACATTGGAAAATGTTTAGCTAGTTCCATGAAGACCATCATAAAAGGATTTTGCTCTCTGTGAATATATTTTTGTAATCTTTTTTTTAATCTGCCTTTTTTTTAATAGGTCTACCTGGTGATAGAGGAGATCGAGGTGATGTAGGAGTCCCTGGCCCTGTGGGGATGAAAGGTCTAGATGGTGACAGAGGTGATACTGGTTTTATAGGAGAGCAAGGCAGAAGAGGAGAACCTGGATTTCAGGGGATACCTGGAATGCCTGGCATCCCAGGAACAAAAGGTACCTCCAAGGGTATATTTACTAGAATAACATTTATAGGGATGATGATTTAGATAAACCAGGTCTTAGGGCTATTGAATCTTGGTGGGCTCACCATCAACCCAGAGGCTTGCTCTCTCAGCTCAGCAGGTCTGAAGTCCTGAGGGAGTCATCTACTATTACTTAAAATCACTCAAAGACTGTTTTTTATCAGCATGCCATTTTTAAAATTTGCACCAGAGGTACACCTGACCCAAGAATTGGGACCAGTTGCTTATGTACATGGGTACTCCCTTCCTGTTTCTTTTCAGGAGACTGAGTTATGGATCAGAAAGTAATTTAGTAAATATAGAAATAAAATGCAAGAAAATGAACTTTTCTACTCCAAAGATAGTTACATGTAAACAGGCATTTCATCTGGAATCAGAGCACACTTGTCCCTTGAACAATTCAATGATAGCATAATGGCAATTCTTTCTTTCTGCTTCTCAGTTCTGTGAGTGGCATATTGTTAATGTTCCATTAATTTCTAATCTCAGTTCTTCATTATCTCCTGGCTGGCCTATATGTTTATGTTAATTTTGCTTAAAAGTATTTCTTTCCTCTGTGGCTATTCTGGTTGCAACTAGACACGTGCCTCCTCACTACAAGTTGGTAAATGAAGAAAGCTACCAAAAAAGAGAAAGAGAGAGAAAGAAAGAAAATTAAGATACCCCAGGAAATCTTCTTTCTGAGTAGAATTTTGTTAGAGCAAAGACAAGTTCTTCATAAACAAACTTCCACTGCTTATGAGATGGAAATAATGCATAATTCTCCTTTGATTTGAAAGGTTATTTTCGTTAGTTAAAAAGATATTCTTCATGAGGACCTCTTGGAATTGTGTATTGACTGACCATTTAGTACTGACTAACCTAGCACTTCAATTCTTTTCACCAAGGTTTCAAAGGGTCACCTGGTATGGAAGGTTTCAAAGGCATGTTGGGTATCAAAGGAAGACCAGGAATCATTGGATATAAAGGAGAGGTTGGTGATTTTGGAATTCCTGGTTTGAAAGGTCTAACTGGTGAACCAGGCTTGAAAGGTATGTGTACTTACTGTCAAACCCACATTATATTTCTTTCATAGTGGCATGGTATGATATTCACAGTGAACCAGAATCACTGTTTGTTGTTCACTCAACATTCCAATGAGTTACCCTCCCCCCCCAAAAAATAGAAGACATAGTCTCTGCCCTCAAGACACTTACAATCAAATTAGGAAAGCATATAAGCTAAAGAAAAGCATGTAAAAGTACAAATGATTTAAATGTAAAAACCATATTTAATCAACTATAGTTAAAGATTATATGTGTATGAATATGAATATATATGTAGTGTATTTGTACACACACACACATAGAGAAATATAGATATAGATATAGATATCTCTGTAAGTGTTAAGAGAAATTGCCAGAGTGGTTATAGTAACCAAAAGGAACCAGATGAGATCAATTTCAAAGGTGAACTATACCAAACTATAAGCAAAAATTTGTAGGAGCAAAGAAACACAGCTTGACTAAAAGAATAGGGAAGCATATTCCTGGTAGGAGTATGTAATATGAATAGAGAAAGGGATTTATCTGTATTAGAATGAATCTATCTCAAAGACCCAATTCAACAATTAATTTCAAAAAACAATTATTAAGCCCATACAGTGGCATTTAAGGAATTACAGGGAAGACTAAGAGCCCCCAAATGCTTAGGACCTTGTTCATTTCATCATTAAAAAGCAGCATATTAATAACTTCATTCCAACTGTATTAAGAATGTACCACAGTAGCAACTACAAACAACAATTTTCCAAAATTTAAAATGAGACTCACAAATCTATGACAAAATGTTAAGTCTAGTCTAGGCTATTTTTAAGACTCATAGTATTACATACTTAGAGCTGAAAGGGATCCTACAGGACATCTATGTGCCCTCTTATTTTACAAATATGAAACTGAGTCTCAGAACATTAAATGACTTACTCATGGTCATTCAGGTGGCAGAACCAGAATCTGAGACCAAAGCTCTTAGGGAAGTTTAAAATGTATGTTTCTCTTTTTATTATAAAACTAAACATCAAAAAATTTGAACCTTTCAGGAAATGTATGTGAAACTGTAAACTCCAATTATGTAGTATATTTTTTGTTTATATTCAGCTTAACCCAATATTAATACAGCTCTCTTGTTTGTCTCTGTCCCTTTCCTTCTGTGTATTTTTTAATGTTTCATTGACTCTTTTCTTTCTGTATCACAATCACTTCATGCCCACTTTCCTTCTACAATTCTTCTTCTTCTGCAAATAGAAGCCCTTGATAATAAATAAGTGTGGTCAAACAAAACAGATTCACACATTGGCTATGTCTGAAAACGTACATCTCATTCTGCATCTCTAGTCCATCACTTCTCTTCCAAGAAGTGAGAATCATGCCTCACTAGCTTTCTGGAGTCATGATTGGTCATTTCATTAATCAGAGTTCTTAACTATTTCAAAATTATTTTCCTTTATATTATTATATTCATTGTACAAATCATTCTCCTGATTCTGCTCACTTCATTCACCATACATATTTCCAAACAATTTTTGTGTTAAACTGCTATGTTTCAAGCAACTATCTTGAATATAGTTTTAAAATTGAGTTATATATAAATAGTTTAGGCTAGATTTACCAGTTTCCATCAACTGAGAACATTTGAAAGTCAATCTATCAAGACCCTATTACACAATTCACTGATGATTTATCCACAGCTTCCTTCTTTCAAAGTATCTCTTTCAATTGACTCAGTTCTTGGAAGTCCTTCCCATGCTAAGAGAGCGCACTTTCTTGTCCTTTTCAACTCAGTTATCCCAAAATAGTTGAAATTTCAGTAACTCATCTACGCTAAATGGATATAAAGACACTTCCCCTACCAAGCCTAATTGTTGAAGGAAGAAAGTAGCACAGATAAATACACACACACACACACAATCAATAGGCACAATGGAACATGTATAATAATATGGCCAACCTCAGGTGAAGGCTCCCTTACCCTTTGTTATTACACAAGTACACTGTTGAATTACACAAGCAGCTCCTGGCAGGCTTGGATCTTGTTGACCTTTTAAATTTTTCTGTAGCATTTAGCTGTTCACTAAGAATACTTATACATATTTAATGGTGATCATAAGAGACTGGCTACAAGGTGTAGTTTGGGGCATCACCTTGTCTCACAATGTAGCTGCCTCTCTTCCCTCTGTGCCTCCTTCCACTTTTGTAAATTAATTTAGAAGCAGCCTCTGTTATACTTTTTGTTCCCTATACCCAGCTGCCCTCCCCCCCACCTGCTCCTTTTTTCAGTCCAAATCATTTAGCTCAAACACTATATAGTTCTCTGCCGAACTGATCATTCCTTTTACTTCAACTATGTTATTATCCTTGTTGAGGCCCTCCAGTGGTAAGCATGTTAACCCTAACCATAAAAACTAAGCTGCCCACTTTGGGCTTCATAGTTCCCTTTAAGTCTATGCCAACTTATATTACCTTGGTCTCTGGTACAGTCCCCTCCCAGTTCCTTTGATCAAGCTGATTAAATTTATTCTCACGTGGTTTTCTCAATTCCTGCATCTTCCAACACTGAGACTTCCCATACTTGACAAAGCATATTTCCGTGATATGAATGAATGGAATGGAACATCATTGTACCATAACAAATGATGAAAAGCATGGTTTCAAAGAAACTTAGGAAGACATATGTGAACTGATGGAGAGCAGAACAAGAACAATTTCTACAATAACAACAATGCTGTAAAAACAAGATTGAAAAACCTTAAAATTCTGACCAATGCAATGACCAAATGTGATTCCAATAGACTGATGATGAAGAATGCTTTCCACCCTGTTACAGAAAAACAGTATTCAGGGTGCAAAATGCGACATATAGTTTCTGGACCTGATCAATATAGGAATTTGTTTTGCTTAGTTATGCATATTTGTTACAAAAATTCTGGGGTTTTTTTTCCCTTTCTATTATTAATGCAGTAAGGGAGGAAAGAAAAATCACTTTTGTTCATTTGAAAAAATAAAATTTAATTTGTAAAAAGAGTCCATTTAACTCACCAGACTGCCAAAGGATTCCATGACACAAAAACGAATATGAACCCCTGCATTCAATCTTGAAGTCCTTACGGGCTGAGTGTCTTTTTTTAGTACTGAATTATATAGGCACTGTATAACATCAGGGCCAGGTCAACACACTGGAATTCAGTCCCAGCTATCACTCTAAAACTTTCCTACAATGTAGTAGAAAATATTAAACTCAAGAGCAAGCACTGTTGTTGTTGTTGTTGTTGTTGTTGTTCTTATGTTTGTATCTACAACACTGAGCACAGTGCCTTGCAGAGTATTGCTTAATAATTGAGTTGAACATAGGAGTATACTGGATCTAGTTCCTACTGGCTATTGAGAACCAATTGTTAAATTTTCAGTATGAAGATTTACACTTTGTAAATAACCAAATTCTACAAATCAGGGCTTGATTTGTTGTTTTGTTTACTGTCTAGACTTAAGAAAGTAATGTAGAAAATGTTAATGATGCAAATTTAACTCAGAAGTACACTGTATCATGAAAGCATTTTTTTTCAGAGAGCTGGTTGTTAAACATTTCCCTGTACACCCCTAGATGAATGTTATCATTACCCACTTTCTTATATGCCATAGAGTACGTGACAAAGATGACAAGCATTTTGAGTTTGATATGAGTAGCCAAACTCCATCTGCCTACAGTAGTAGCCTAAGTCAATCTTTCATATGAAAAGCCTTTCAGCATAGCTAATGGGAGTAATAGAGTTTTAGTGCTGGAAGGGTTGTTATAGCTTACCTTATAGTTATTAAGCTTTGGTGAGAGGTCAGGCAGTACACTAGCTCAGTAGTTCATAGCCTCCCAAGTCTTAGTGCCTTTGAAGGTGAGCAGGAGAAGGTTTTAGAGTGTATACTTTGTTCCTTTATCATAGTGCAGAGGCATTCAAAAATGTCTGTGTTCTGTTCATATTAAGGTAGCCGTGGAGAGCCAGGGCCTCCAGGAGAACCTCCAAAATTCCTGCCGGGAATGAAAGACTTCAAAGGGGAGAAAGGCGATGAAGGACCTGTTGGTGGGAAAGGATATTGGGGCACAAAAGGTAAGGTGCTATCATCATCATCAAGCTAGCTTCTCCTCTGTGTTTTTAAGGCCAAGGAAAAAATTCATCCCCTCTGCTATTTTTCCTTTGTCCCTTAAGCAAGGAATATCAAAATAGGAGAGTTTTGTTTTATTTTTGCCATAGAAGATGCAATGCTCAATCTCTGTTAGAAAAGTACTCTTGTTTCATTACTATATTTAAATTCTCTGCATTTTTTTTCCTCCTGACATCTTTAATTTGATTTTACTGTTAAGCAGGCTCAGTTTCCCATTTTCTGCTTGTCATTCTTCAACAGCAGAACTGTACTGTCAAGTTGAAAGCTTTACAAGAGCACCACTTTCATTGTCACCAGAGTTTTACATTGAAGTCTTCTTGTAGGTGGACAAGGAATGCCAGGCATTCCTGGACAGGCAGGAATTCCTGGGTTACCTGGGACACCTGGTTACATCAAAGGGGCTAAAGGTGAAATCGGTGTTCCTGGAGTGCCTGGTTTGCAAGGATTCCCTGGCATAATTGGTTCTCCTGGTATTAGAGGCTTTCCTGGATTTGTAGGTATTAGGGTAAGTCAATATCCTTTGTATTTCCTATTGCTTTATGGTTTGAGGATTTTGTTTGTTTATTTATTTGTGGATTTTTTTAATTTTTTTTTTTCAAGACTGGGTCTCCCTACCTTCACCAGGACAGAAGTGCAGAGGCCACTCATGGGCCAACAATACAGCTGAACACCACCGAAGCATTGACCCATTCTGTTTCTGATTTGGACAGGAAGAAAGCCTAATAGACCTCCTGCTCTCAGAGGCTCACCATTTTGGTGCCAGATTTTCTATAGACACTTGATCACCTTAACCATACTACAGTTTAGAACTCCCAATCTTAAGTGATTTATCAGCCTTAGCCTCTCTAGGAGAAAGGATCTCATAGGCTTACATCACCACACTTGGTCCTGTACTTTAAAAAAATTATAGTAACATTCTTAATTTAATTTTTATTTTTTTCTTATTAACCCTGCTTCATTTTTAATTTTATTGATATCTTTTGAGTTTTATATCATCTTCATTTCAGTCCCACTTCACTCCCAAGTAAGCTATCCTCTGTAACAAAGGTTTTTTGTTTTGTTTTGTTTTGTTTTTTAATGGAAGAGGGAAAATCAGGTCAGCAAAACCAACCAACTTCAGTGAGTCTAACGGTATCTGCAGTGTTCCATGCCCACAGTGTCCCACTTCTGCAAAGAAAGGAGAGAGGCAAATTTTCTCAGCACTGGTCCAGGCTTAACTTTGAATTTGTTCTTAATGACAAAATCCCATTCCCTGTTGATAAAGTCTTTTGGCCAAGCCGTGACCTATTCTTAGTTCATTAAGATAGAAATAGTAAAAATAAGAAGTTCTGGATCAAAGGCATTTGTCTTCAATAAACTCATTAATAAGAATCAGAAAATGGTTTACTTGTGCCAGCATCTGAAAGTGATTTAAATGTCAGCATTTAAATAAATAAATAAAAGTCACAGCTAGGTCCTGCTCATGTGGTTTTATTGACTAAAGCACTTCAGAATAAGATTGGCTGGTGTGTGAACAGGATCTGATAACTTCATTAGGCCATGGGAGAATATAATGCTTTTGTAATCATTAAGGACCCCTAGGATTTCTTGAAATCAAAATTGTTATGGACCCCATGCCACTTCATTACTTAAAAATCATCTGGGACAGAACGACCCACTTTTAAATAAAGGTCCTCTCACTTCATGTCCTTGAGCAGAGGGCTTGCATGTTACTGTTGAACCTAACAGGAAAACGTAGCACTTTTGAGGAGTGACTCATGTTGCAACCTTATTGCCAGCCCTCAGCACTGAGGCCCTATCTATCCTATCTGTTCAACCCTCTTTGGTGTACATCCAGTCTTCAAGATCCCCTGAATTTTTTTTTCTTTTCTCTCATCATTTTCCTAAGGCCTCAGAAATAACCATCAGTCCCTGAGTATAAGGGGGAAAAATATTTCCACAACAATCTTCTTACTACCAGTCCTGTAACTGGTTCAGGCACTAATTATTTAAAAATGGGTTGGAGTGGAAGCAGAGAGAAAATAAAGACAGATATCAAGATAGAAAGGGAACAAGGGAAACCAGTAAGCATTTAATAAGTACCTACTGTGTGCCAGGCAGGGCAGCTGGATGGTGCAGTGGATGGAATGCTGGGTCTGGAGATGAGTTTTCCTGAGTTCAAACCTGGCCTCAGACACTTACTAGCTGTGTGATCCTGGGCAAGTCACTTCACCTTGTTTGTCTCAGTTTCCTCATCTGTAAAATGAGCTGGAGAAGGAAATGACAAATCATTCCAGTATCTTTGCCAAGAAAACCCCAAATGGGGACACAGAGAGTTGAACACAATTCAACAATAACGTGCCAGGCATTTTCTAAGTACTTCACAAATATTAGCTCCTTTGATTCTCACAACAACCTTGGGAGAGAGTGCATTATTCCCTTTTTCCAATTGAGGAAACTGAGGCAGAAAGAGGTTAAGAGCCTTGCTCAGGGTTGCACAGCTAGGAGATATCTGAGGCTGGATTTGAACTTGGATCTTCCTGACTCCAGGCCCAGCACTCTATCCACTGAGCCACCAATAGTCTCTAGGCTAGGAGGAGAAGAAAAGAGAGAAAAAGAAATCCTGATGTTCGTCCGTGCCATTGTGAAAGTGGTTTTCTCTGTCTTCTCCTTTTTGTACTTTTCACTAAAGGATAAAATATTAGTGATTTGAGAGCGCAAGGTAAGACTTCCTAATAGGGGCTAATAGGTTGTCTAAGAGAGTCTCCTTGAAGGAAATAGTGTCATTTGCAAAGTATTTACCACCTGAAACAAGGTTTGCAGTACTACCATTCTCTCTATTTGAAAGAAAGAAGCCCAATTAGACACAGAAGTCTGAAACTGACTGTCCCCATTTAGCTCATGTGGAATCACAAAGTTTATGCCCTAGTTGGTTCAACTAGTCATTTTCCCCTCATTGTTGGCATTAAACATTTTGCTGGCAAAAACCTATGTTCAAAGGTAAAAATATTTTACATAAAAATTGTACAGAATTACTTTTGTAGTGATAAAAATTATTTCACCTAGTTCATGTTTATCTTCTCAAAGATTAACAGACCACCAGCATCCCCTCCCCAAGTTGAGTTGAAGCCTTTCATAAGCTTTCTGCCAAGTGATCATTTCTGTGATTACAAGGCTTTGGGTTTTGGTATGCTGAGCATTTTGAATTTATAAAGGGATCAAAGTAATATTGTCATTCTATTAATTGTATTTTAAGAAAGCTCCATATGTAATCTTTTCCTAGGGTGACAAGGGCATGCCTGGACGAGAAGGTCTTTTTGGTGAGACCGGAAGTATAGGAGATTCTGGTGAGTGTTTTTCTAGATACATTTGGCAAAAGTATATATAAACTTAAACTAAATGTATCGAAGCCAGTCTTATTTGTAATCCTTTGTGTATATAACAGGTGATGAGGGAGACATTATAAACTTACCAGGGAGGCCAGGGTTGAAAGGAGAACTGGGCATATCTGGACTTGCAGGTATGTATTTTATTTTAAATCTGAACATCATCAAAAAACTTATGTTCACTTGCTCCTTCATTCACACAATAAACATTTATGAAGCACCTGCTGTATGCAGTGCATGTACTAGGTTCTGGGGAAGATTTGAGAAATTTGAGACAGAAAGCCCCGCCATCAATAATCTACAAAGCTTATCATTTACTACCAACAAATGAGATCTACATGGATAAATATCATACTGTATGATAAGTGCTGAAGAGATATATGCAGAGCAGAGGAAAGGGCATTATTTCTAGCTGCAGGGATCAGGGCTAGCTTTGGGGAGGAAGTGGTGTTTGATCTGGGCTTTGAAGAATGGATAGAATATCAACACAATGAAGAGTTCTAGTTTCCTTCAAAGGTTAACTCAAATGTCTACCTACTTCCTACAGGAGGCCTCCAGATATCTCCACCTAGTACTCTCCCAATTGTGATTACTACCGTATGAATGTGTGTGTGTGTGTGTGTGTGTGTGTAGCTCCATGAAGAGACTTTAATTTTTTGTCTTTGTATCGTCATAGCCAAGAACAGTTCCTATCGCATAGTAAGTATTCTATATAACAGGTGACAGGAGCTAAGTAAATTCTTCTTTATTCACTGATTGATTCATTGATTCATTGATTGAAACAGAGGTAATAGAATGGGAAACATAATAGAAGTGGCTATTCTAAGTATAGGGAACAGTATAAACAAAGTCATGGAGACAGGAAAGCATGGCTTATATCTGGAGCTCAGAGTACATGAGAGGGAAGGACTTCGCCCCAGACTGTTCCTTGTTTCTTTTTGGTCCTTGTGATTTCATTGGTGTAGGGAACTCCCAGTGGGGAAATTTCCTCTGTCTCTACAGATTGGTAATTATTCTTTAACTTGCTCTCTTGAGATGACTTTATCTTCTCTGATAGATGAGTCGTATAAACATGGCAAAGGCTAAGAAATACGCAGACTGAAGTGAATTTTTTTTAACCCAATTAATGACTAGACATAAAGAAAACAGTGAAGGATTAAACATGGAGAGTGAGGGACGGTCTTAGCAACAACTTGGGTCAGTCATAATGTTTACAAGGAGAAAAATAAAACAAGTTTCAATAATAGATTAAAAAATGAAAAATATTGTTTGTAGCAGATTCTAAATACTGTAAAAATCAATAAGAAAGAAGCAAACTTTCCCAAGTGGTTTTTCCAAAGTGTTGACATTCATAGCATTTTTTTTTCTGAATACTGAAGGCATCTCTCTTGACCTTAAGGAAGTTCTTTTAAAAAGTGCTTTGTGAGGCATGCAGAGGAGGACATAAGAATAGTGTGATAAGATCTTAGTAAGGTACAAATGAACCAGAATACTCAACAATTTGGCTATTTTCACAAATGTGGGGAGAGGGAAGAAAGACAAACTATAAAAATAAATTAAAGGCAGGACTATGTCATTAGAAATTGATGTCTATTTTTTCTATGTGTAATTTTAGTGAGGGAGGGGAGAGCTTAGAGGAGTGGTCTGGAACTGGAGAGATTCCAGTTGTGTGTTGTTGTTGTTGTTGAGTTATTCCAGTCATGTCTGACTCTTCATGACCCCCTTTGGGGTTTTCTTGGCAAAGGTACTGGAGTGATTTGCCATTCCTTCTCCAGCTCATTTTATAGATGAGGAAACTGAAGCAAACAAAGTTAAGTGACTTGCCCAGAGTCACATTGCTAGTAAGTGTCTGAGGCCAGATTTGAACTCACGAAAATGAGTCTACCTAACATCAGGCCCAGTACTCTATCCACTTGGCCACCTTTTGTGTAGGTACTTCCAAGTGAGGAAACCCCCTTCCCTGATAGAGACTAAGAACCAACAAGCATTTGTTGAACTAAGTTCTAGGGATTAAAAAAGAAAAACAAAGTCTCTGCCCTCAAAGATCTCACATTCTAATGGAGAAGACAACATGCAGACAACTATGTACATACAAGATATCTACAGTGTAAATGGAAGATCATCTCATAAGGAAACCACTAATGGCAGTGGAGGAAAGGGGTGATGGAAGGGGAGATAGGGAAATGGTAAAGGTCTCCTGCAGAAGGTGAAATTTCAACTGAGTCTTGAAACAAGCTAGATGATCGAGGAGGCAGAAGTAAGGAGGAAAAGCATTTCAGCTGTGGAGGACTGGTCCTTCATTTTTAACTTTTAACCTTAGAGAATGGGGGCAGCTAAGGTGGTGCAGTGGGTAGAGCACCAGCCCTGGAGTCAGGAGGACCTGAGTTCAAATCCGGCCTCAGATACATGACACTTACTAGCTGTGTGACTCTAGGCAAATCACTTAACTCCAATTGCCTCACCAAAAAGGAGAAAAAAAGTACTTAGAGAATGGCCTAGGACACTGAGAGATTAAGTAACTTGCCGTGGTTCTCTCAATTCATATTTGTCAGAGGCAGAATGTGAACCCAGGATTTCTTGACCCTGTATCTACTGCAGCATGCTGCTTCTCTCTAACAAATACAACCTTCCTATATTTTTGTACAGGAACAATGTGAGAATTTTTTTTTTGCTTGATTATGCATATTTGTCATGAGGTCTTTGTATTTCTTTTTTTCTCTTAAATTACTGGGTCAGGTAGGAGGGGGGAAAGTAAATGCTTGTTAATTAACAAATAATTAATTAATTAATTAAAAATTAAGTAGAAAGGTTTTTTTTAAGTCCTCAAAATATGTAGAGAGTAGTTGTTGTACTTTTAAACTAGCCACTAACCAAAACATTCAAAAACCTGTGTCAGAAAATAAAAGTGGGGCAGCTAGGTGGCACAGTGGATAGAGCACCAGCCCTGAAGTCAGGAAGAACTGAGTTCAAATCCAGCCTCAGACCAAACATTTGACACTTACTAGCTGTGTGACCCTGGACAAGTCACTTAACCCCAACTGCCTAAAAAAAAGAAAGAAAAGAATAAGAAAAGAAAAGCGCAGAAGCCGGACTGACTGTCTACCATCCAGTTCTCCCCTCCCACTGACCCCAGGTCACAAGGAATACAAGGACTTATTTAAAGACAATCTCTTGTTGCAGGTGAGAAGGGCTTCATTGGAGAAAAAGGCACACCAGGAGACCATGGTTTTATAGGATTGATGGGCATAAAAGGATCTCAAGGCCTTGTTGGACTGAAAGGACAGACAGGTAACTCATCTGCTGCTTAGGGGAAAATATTCACCTGTTTCTGAACAAGCAGCCATTATATATCTATTCTGACTATGTTGCCTTAACAATATGTGATATCTTGGGCCTACAAAATATACTGATTCATGCCCATACGAGTGTTTTCAGTACTTTCAAAGGTACTGGCAAAAAAGTGATCAATTCCCTTCTTCCTGTCTGCTGCTAATGTTGTCAACAGGGGGATTAAAGGAAACATGAATCTTAGAAAAAGAACAAGGTGACAAGGAAGAGCTTAAAAAATATTTAAGACTTCTTTGTGGTCAAGCAATCAACTACCATAGCTAACTTAATAATGTGATTTTGAATGGATTGCTTCAGCAAAAATTAATTTATGCTGTTACCTAAGGCAAAGAATAAGATGAATCAGATTGTTCTCCTATTCCTTATTCATATCTAAGAACTTTTGAACAAAAAAGAACATAATAGAATCCTTTGGGAGCTCTATGGTGTCTACATCAAGACTTTTTCTTGAATATTGAACAGAGAAATGGTGCAAGGTGTTTTCTCCTCCAGATGGTAGAAAAAGATAAGCTAATCTTGCTACAATCAGAATTTTTCTTTACAAGACATTTGGGTTTTCCAGATTTAAACTAGGGTTAATAATTCTTTGTGCCCCCACCCCATATTTTCAACTGCTGTCCAAAAGGACTCTCTATTCATTTTGTTAATGATGTTGCCACTTTCAGAAAGAAAAAAAAAAAAAACACAAAAAACAAAAAACAATAAATGTCAGCTTCTGAGAATAGTCCAGTACAAGGGTTCTTAACCTGGGAGAGATTTTAGAAGGTCCTTGAACTTAAATGTGAAAAAAAAATTCACATCTTTATTTTCACTAACCTTTAGTTTAGATTTAGCATTTCCTTCAATTATCTAAAACCATTATTCTGAGAAAGAGTCCATAGGCTTCACTAGACTGTCAAAAGCATCCATGTCCCAAAAAATATTTAAAAGCCTCTGGTCTAATGTAAGAGTGATTATTCTATCACTTTTACTTCTGTGTACTTAGAATCAATGATGTCTTTGTGCCACAGGTTTCCCAGGACTGACAGGACTCCAAGGATCCCAAGGAGACCCAGGTCGTGCTGGACCTCCTGGTGAAAAGGGAGATTCTGGATGGCCGGGGGTTCCAGGCTTATCAGGTAACACATACATACACATAGACACACGCACATTATTTAAAACCATTTTTTTCCATTCTACCCTCTTCTTAATTTAAAAAAGTTTGATATCTTTTATTTTTACATCCCCTTCACTTCTGAATATATACACTCCCTCCTTCCCCTTCCCCCACCCCCCCGAAAGTCATCCCTTGCAACAAATAATGAAAAAGAAAGGGAGGAGAAGGTGAGGTGGGGAAAAGAGAAGCAGTTCATCGTAGCTAACCAACACATCAGCTGAATCTGGCAGTATAATGCAATCTTCTATTCCCATAGTCACCCACCTCTACAAGACTGAGAGATAGGTTCATTCTAGCCTCTTTTTAGAAGATACTCTATTGGACTTCTTATGAGTGAAATGTAGACCTGCAAACAATGACATGTGAACTGTTTCCGGTTGTCTGGACCAATAAAAATGACTCCAACAGTCATTTGCAAGGCAGAATTTTCTTCCCAAATAAAAACAAAAGGAAATATCAGTTGTTGAAATAACTAGTTGTTGAACATCACAAGAACAGGAGATACGAGCTAAATATCACTGCTTGTTCATCTCTGCTGATTTCCTATTCCATGGAAAGGGCACATGACAAGTCAGACTTTCTTTCCTCATTGATAAAAGAAATTGAAAGCTTCATAGTGAAATGAATTCAATAAACATTAAGCACTTACTATAGATAAGACACTGCACTGGGTACTATGGATATGAAGACAAGTGTTCCCATCAGCTACTTCTTCCGGAAGGTGGAGCCACACTCTATGTTGGCACACCATTCTTGATATCATAGTCTAAGGCTGTAGATAAGATACAGTCTCTTGTTCACATTCTCAACCACCACAATCACTGAAACAATTGTACTTTCCCATTTCCCTAGTTTGGAAATATGGAGTCCAAGAAATCCAAAAGGATGGGACATCCCATCAGGCTATTTGTTTTTGCATAGTATAACTCGAGTGAGTCAAATACATTTTCATGTTTGTTTGTTTTTTTACAAAAGAGTTATAATAGAGGTTTAGGAAAAACAGTAATTTTATATGCCAAAATAAATGGTATGTTTGCTACATATTTTCCAAAAAAGGTTAATGCATTGTGTGAATGTGTGTTGTTATATGTGAGCTGTTTCAGATCAAATACTCTCAAATGATTTCTGTCATTGGAAACATAATTTACATTTCTGTAAATGAGGTAACTGTGGATGAATTCCAACAGGTTTCCCTGGTATCAGAGGACTCAGTGGACTGCATGGCTTACCAGGCACTAAAGGCTTACCCGGATCTCCAGGTACTCTCCTGCTGCATTTGCTCATCTCATTATACATGTACATGGTAGTAGTAGAGTTAGTCTGAGAATTCTACTGAAAATTTTACAAGAACTCTGTTTGGGATTATATTTTTTTTTTTTGGATATAGGTGTTTGGCTGCATTGAAATATGTAGAGTAATTGTCATCACTGAGTGGGTTAATGTTTGTAGGCATGAGCTGTAATGCCTTTTCTTAGCTTTTAGAAACTGGGACTTCTAGAGACCTTAGAACTAGCCCTTCTATCTAGAGATTATGTTAAATAAGCCTATCAGCCTCAGCATTCTAAAGATATTCAGTGACTTGGGTAGCAAAGACCAGGCCTTCTCTGTGTTCGTTTCATGAGGAGTCTTTGGGAAAAAAGAAAAACAAATTTTTTTTTAAATAGTATCTTTATGTTCATTTTTATGTTTTTGTACAGTGCAACTGTCAAAAAAAAATTGACTTCTTCCAAAATTGACTATATTTTTAAAAGGAGCATGTAATAAACAGTTGGTGTCTAATCTGTCCTCAGGCATTGAGACATTAAAGGGTCTTTAAGAGCCAGGACTCAAAAAACACAACTGCTTTTCATAGCACTCTTTTGCTACATTTTTAAAAGTATCAGTGCATATTTATTACAAAAAATGATGCAAAGTCCCATTGTTTCTAAAGGCAGCTATAATAGAATAAAATTTGCATCATGTTAGTTCCTTCTGGGACACCACAATGCTGTTCCTTGTGTTGTATTTATTCCTAGAAAGGGAGTCATTTCTTATACCATGGAATGCTGCCATCCACCATCACTCTCCTTGAGAAATTATTCTTGCTAAAATTTCTGCATGATGCAGTATTGGAAGACTGAGGAGATTCTTGGAAAAAACTTTCCTCATTTGGAAATTTAATTTATTTTCTAATTGCCATCCTTTACCTTTCCATTTGTTGGCTAATGTTACTGCAACAAAAATATGTGGGGCTAGACACAAGAGCATATTTCTAAATAGCATTTCAATTACAGGTCACAAAGTCAGGAACAACTGATATTAGATAGTCACAAGGTGACTCCAATTTGTACTGATAAGATTTCAAGTAATATTTTATTTTCACTGCATGTATTATTAACAATAATATAATAAATATAAATAATTAATATATGATACATAACATATTTGTTATACAAATATGTATAATTTATAAATAAATACTTTAACAAATAAATATAATTTCTATATTTTAATTTTATATAATTTACATATAGATAATAATATTTAATAAATATTTTATTGATGAGCTGTACTGATAAGGTTTTAAATAATATTTTATTTTCTCTTTATTTTTAATAATAATAACTGGGGCATTTATGAAGCAAAGTGCTTTACATATGTAAAATTGCATCTGATCTTCACAACAATCCTTTGAGATAAGCACAAGCATTACTATTCCCACTTCAGAGATATGGAAATTGAGGCTCAAAGAAGCTAGTAACTTGCCTGTGGGTCATTTAAATACTAAGTGAAAGTGGGTGGAATTCAACCCCATGTTTCTTCTGACTCCAACTCCTGATTTCCTTCTATTGTGTCATACTACCCCTATTTATAAGAATACTGAGGAAAAGCTGGTAACTGAGTATGGTGGAAAGAAAAGTAGAACATGAATTCTAGGTTTAGGGTGAGAACTACCTTCTAGTCCTGACTGCCAGTAAGTTACTGTGTGATTTTGGACCATGTCAATCCCTTGGGTTTTAATTTCTTCAAATACAAAACTAAGAGGCTGAGCTGATTCAAAATTTACTAACCTTAGACATCATTATGTTCCTCTGCTTTTAACTGCATTACATAGTCTTGGTTTTACTTGATTTAAGAAAATTAATATTTTATACCTACGATGCATTAACATCTGGTTTCTATTTCAACCCCACAATAGGTGCAGATGGCTATGGGAATCTTGGCTTCCCTGGTCCTTTTGGTGACAAAGGAGAGAGAGGAGAGCCTAACACAATTCCAGGTCCCCTGGGAGCACCAGGGCAGAAAGGAGAGAGGGGAACCCTAGGTGAGAAATTGAACTTGCCAAAAGATGTATTGTCCCTGATGATAACCTGAATTCAAGAGAAGAAGCCCATGTGCCTTTCTGTGTAAACAGAGAGCTGAATAGATATAAGCCAAAGGAGAGCTCTGGGAAAGTGCTAATTACTCAGTTTCAGGATACTCCATGCAAATGTCCTATCACATCTTCTGAACTAAGCCTGATTTAGGATGGATTTCATATATGGATAGAAGATTGATCAGGGAAGCTTAATAGGAGTCCTGGCAATTGAGTGAGAAAAGTTTACACGTGCACCAATACCTATTTATAAACTCTTCGTGACCACTAACTAGATCCTTTGTGGGAGCTAGGTAAGTTGACTCAAGGATAAGAGAAGACAAGATGTTAGATTGCTGTCTTTAGGTATTTGAAGAGTTGTAATAGAACAGTATGGTTGGAATTATTGTGCAGGGACCCAGAGGATAGAACTGGAACCAATTTTTAGAAGCTACAAGAAGGCAGTCTACCTCAGTCTTTTGAATAATTAGAGCAGTCACCAAATGAAATCGGCTACTTCAGGATTTAAGGCTTTCCATAAAAAGGCTAACTCTTCCAACTCTAAGATTCTATGATTTTAGATATTCCCTAATATTCTACCAGGGGGTAAAGTGCCAGGCCTGGAGTCAGTAAAACTCATCTTCCTGAGTTCAAATCTGGCCCCAGATGCTTACTAGCTGTATAACCCTTGATAAGTCACTTAACCTTGTTTGTCTCAATTTTCTCATCTGTAAAATGATCTGGAGAAAGAAATGGGAAACCACTCCAATATCTTGGCCAAGAAAACCCCAAACAAAGAATCAAACATGACTGAAAACAACTGAACAACAACAAAAGTGTTCCACCAAACATTTTCTTTCTGAACTTTCAAATGTCTAATACATGCCTGTAGCCCCTGTACTTGCAGTCATTAACCTATCAAGCATTTATATGTATATGCATACATACATATATATACACACATATACACACATACACATATATATATGTATTTGTTGTTACCTGCTATTTAATGAAAGTAGCAAATAAGTAGAGCCAATGACTGACCTGGTTTCTTAAAACATCAAGTAAATCAGGCTCTCTAAGGTGGGTTTCCTCTTCTCCTCCACCCCACCCCCAAATCCTCTTAATTGTTTAGTTTATAGAACCAAATGGCCCAGTTAACATCAGCAAAGATGGTCTCTTTAAACATATGTAAAGTTTACATTAATCTACATGTGACACTCATATTTACTATTCAGATATTTACCAGCTGTGTGACCTTGGGCAAGTCACTTAACCCTCTTTGCCTCAGTTTTCTCATCTGTGAAATGAGCTGGAGAAGGAAACAGCAAACCATTCCAGTATCTTTGCCAAGAAAACCCCAAAAGGGGTCACAAAGAGTTGGACATGACTGAAAAACGACTAAACAACAGCAAAAGATTATGGAACTGTTGTGAATCTGATTTCCACTCACTCCATCAAGCCTTTTACATTGACATACTTCGTTTCTGGTGTTTTATTACTAAGTGTAACATCATCCAGTGCTTTTACTTAAATTTAAACAAATTCAGTTGATAGTTAAGATTTGGAGTTTTCCAAGTGGCTTCTTATTAGATTAGCCCTAAATTCACAGCATCACCGATCTGAGAAGAAAAGGACTTCTGAGGCCATTTAATCCAATCCGAAACCCCCATTTTACAGATGAGGAAACTGAGGCCCAAGAAGGTTCAGTAAATTCCCAAGGTCACACCGGTAGAAATTCTCAGATATGGGATTTGAACCCACATTCTCTGACTTCACAACATCATGCTACATTCCCATTCAACATTCAGTTTCTTCTTACTGAAAATATGTTAGATATTTCATTAATGTCTGGCCCCCTTTTGGTTATTGCATGGGATTTTCAATGTAATCTAACTATCCATTGTCCAGCTTTTCTTATTTCCATAGTTATGAAGATCAGTAGGAGGATTCTTGAGAAAATGCCCTTGTTTTCCTATTAATTCCAACCAAATGATTCATAATTGCTACATACTCTCATTAACAGAGACCTAATAACTATAGTTAATTCTGCTTTTTGTTAAAAAAAAAAAAAGAAGAAGAAGAAGAAGAAGAAGCCAGGAAGGCAAGCAACTAGCATTTTTTAAGCACCAACCAATCTAGAGATGTCATGAGATCCTCTTATTCAAAAGTTTTCCATTATTTTCTAAAGCTTAAAACTCTCCTTTAGTTACTTTATAAGCTCATTGAGGGCAGATACTGTCTTTTTTCTTGTATTTGTATCCCCATTGCTTATCATAATGCCTGACCCATAGTAAGGGCTTAAGAAATGCTTGTTGATTGACTGACTTAGATGTCATTTTTCATCCAGCTGCAGCTGATGGCATTTAATACATTTAGGTTCAATAAATCCAACCACTTGCTGTTCATAATTAATCATATTGAAGAGGTATGGATATTTGTAATCTCCCTCCTATTATGCATTTCCTTCTTCCTGCTCTAAATATACCTGAACAGAAACATTTCCCTGGTACTTTATTTCAAAAGTCTGAATGTCTCTTACTTCTGCTGTGATAGATGTTAGCATGTCATAAAGACAAAAGGGAGAAATATAGCAGACTGCTTTTCAGAGCTCAGAATTCACAATTTCAATTATAGATTCTAGTGTGCTGTGCCAATGTCTTCTCTCCCCATCCCCTACTAATAGGAAGATTATAGTTCAGTTGTTTGTCAGTTGTGTCTGATTCTTCATGACCCCATTTGGGGTTTTCTTGGCAAAGGTGCTAGAGTGGTTTGCTATTTCCTTCTCCAGCTCATTTTACAGATGAGGAAATTGAGGTAAATAAGATTAAGTGACTTGCCCAGGGTCACAGAGCTAGTAAGTGTCTGAGGCCAGATTTGAACTCGGGAAGATGAGTCTTCCTTACTCCAGCCCTGACACTCTATCCACTGCACCACTTAGCTGCCCCTATAGGGAGATATTTTCCTATAATGATGATAATAATAGTAACAACAACAACAGCACTTATGTAATGCTTTAAGGTTTGTGAAGTACTTTACATATGTTAATTCATTTGATTCTCACACAACTCTGAGGTAGGTACTATTCTTACCCTCATTATCAAATGAGATAATATTTGTAAAGCATTTAGCACAGTGCCTGGCACATATGGTAGGTGCTATTCCCTTCCTATTTTACAGATGAGGAAACTGAGACATAGAAAGATTTAATGACTTTCTCAGAATCACACACCTACTAAGTGTCCAAGGCAAGATTTGAACTCACATGTTTCTGACTTAAAACCGCATGCTCTTTCCACCTTACCACCTAGCTGCCTGATCACATATTGTTTGCAAAGTGCTGTATAAATATTATTCCATTTAATCCTCACAAAAACCCAGGGAAATACGGGGTATTATCTGCATTTTATGTTGAGGAAACTGAGGCAAAGAGAGATTAAGTGATTTGCCCAGGATCCCACAACTAGGGAGTGCCTCAGTCCAGATTTGCACTTAGATCTTCCTAATTCCAGGCCTATGTACTATAACATTTGTGTGATATTTTTTGATGTAGTGAGCTGGGTTTTAGGTTAGCCCCTACCCTTAGTCATGGAACCTAAAAGAAAGGGGTAGGAGGTAAGAATGTTGCCATAAAAGGGAGAGAAGCTCAGGAGAAGGAAGAAGAGTCATCTTAAGAGCTTTAATAGATTTCCTTGTTAAAGGGGATCTCTACAATATACCACTCACCCAGTGAATTGCAAGTAACTCAATTCAACTCTATTATCACCTTGATCCAGGATAATAAGGAACAAGGATATAACAAATTCCTTGATTATCCCAAGGTATCATTTTTTTACCCCTTTGTTTCAACTTTCTCCTCCACCAAAAGTTTACCCAGAGCTGTCATCAAGTGTCAAAAAAAAAAAAAAGCTAATCTGAGTTTTATCTCCTTTCCTTAGTGGGCTTTCCAGACTTGAGATGCTAATGAGCTGTGAAAAACCAAGGCCTGACTCCCCTCAGGCCAGGGGTCTGAATAATGATAGTCCTTGAATAAAACAGACTTAACAGTGACCAGGATGAGAAAGTAGGAATGGGGGGTGGTTATGTTCATGAGTAGAGGAAACCCTAACAATGAGATCACATCCAAGGTTGGGGAAAAAATTGGAGGAGAACATGGGTTGTATGTGCATTTCATTTGTATAAATAAGGATGTGGAATGATTTCTCTGTAGGTTAAAAGGCAGGGAGAGGGTTGCAAGTTCTTCTGAAATGAAGCCATAGTATACCCTGCTTCCTCCTGGCCCACTAGAATATCATCATTCATCAACCAGTCCTCAGTGGTTCTAACTGCTTGGTGCATTGTAAAATGGTGATATTATTGATTGAATTCAGCCAACATTTGTTAAGCACATACGCTATGTACAGCATTGTGTTACGTGCTAGAATTTCGAAAATGAAAAATGAAAGTCACTGTCCTCAAGGGACCTTACAGTCTAATGGAGGAATAGTTAATTAATTAGCTAATTAACTCCAATTGGGGGAACACAATACTAAGATATAACAATATATTATTAATAATAATAACACATAATAGGGCACTACATAAGTATGACATCAGGTATAATCCAATAAAATTAAAGAAGTATTCTTGACAAAAAAATTTCAATGGAGGGGATGCCCATCAATTGGGGAATGGCTAAACAAGTTGTGGTATATGATTGTGATGGAATACTATTGTGCTGTAAGAAATGATGAGCAGTTTGATTTTAGAAAAACATGGAAAGATTTGCATGAAATAATGAAGAGTGAAATGAGCAAAACCAAGAGAAATTTGTAGATGGTAACCGCAATATTGTTCAAAGAAGAACTGTGATGTTCTTTGGGTATTATAAATACTCAAATCAATTACAAAGGACCCAGGAAGAAAGATGATATCTACCTCCAGAGAAAGAACTGTTAAATAGAAGTGTACATAGTATGGTTTTACATATGTGTGTGTGTGTGTGTGTATGTGTGTGAATTTCTGTGTTACATTGTGGCTTTCTCTAATGCAGAGTGGGGAGGGAGGGTAATAGTTTAGAACTTAAAATATAACATAGAAATAAATTTAATTTAACTTAAAAAAGAAAATTTCAGAGAGAGAACATATTTTTTTTTTTACTGAATGGGGAATCAAGGAAGTTTTTATGGAGTTGGCAGGGCCTGATCTGGGCCTTGAAGGAAAAGAAGGATTTCAACATGGAGAAAGTATGCTCCAGACATGAGGGGCATCTATATGAAAGCAAAGAAATGGGAGAAACTTGAATAAGATCAGGAATTTTTTGGCTGTGATGTGTAGTATATAAATGGTAGTAGGAAGGATTATGTTTGTTGTTCAGTTGTGTCTGACTCTTTGTGACCCCATTTGAGGTTTTCTTGGCAAAGATACCAGAGTGGTTTGCCATTTCCTTCTCCAGCTCATTTTACAGATGAAGAAACTGAGGCAAACAGGGCTAAGTGGTTTGCTCACAGCTAGTGTGTCTAGGACCTGGATTTGAACTCATGAAGATGATTCTTCCTGATTCTAAGCCCAGTGCTCTATCTACTGTGCCACCCAGCTGACCAAAGTGGGGGAGGATAAACTAGAACCATATTAGGAAATGGCCTTCAATGAGGAGTTTGTATTTTATCCTATAAGCAATAGGGAGCCACTGAAGTTTTTTGAAGAGGGGATTGACATTGTCAGGCCAGTACATTTGTAAGATTATTTTTGGCAGCAATAGTATGATAGCCTCAGTGAGAAGTGATGACAGCCTGAACTAAGGCTGCATTAATAGAGCATTAATGAAGAAAAGGAAGATATGAGAGATGATGTGTGGAGATAGAACTGACAGAACTTAATACATATAATGTGGATTTTTTTCCTATTGTGTTAGAATAGCATACTTTTTTTTTTATCCTCAGGGGAACAAGGTCCTTCCGGTAGCCCAGGAATTCAAGGGTTTCCGGGATTCACCGCACCTTCCAATATCTCTGGGTTACCAGGTGACAAAGGAGCACCAGGTCTATTTGGACTACAAGGTAAGTTATATATTTGTATTTGTGCTTTGAGATTCTTAGGCAGTTGTTAGCCTACCAGTCTGATACAGGTATAAAACTTTCACACATCTTTCATTTTCACACCATCTTCTGACTATTGTCAAAAAAATGTGACTCAAAAAAAACAAACTTGTCATTTCCTTTCTTCCTAACCACACTTACTTTTGAGGACGTGAAGAAGGACCTCTCACCAACCCAAAGTTCATTTAGAGTACAAAAGTCAATCCTTAATCATGTTTTTACAGCGTATTGACTGCCAGCTATTGTGATGGCAATATCACCTGACCTCTTCTGTTATAGTCAACTATTGACTATTTACACCAGGAGCAGACACTTCCCAAAATCATGGACTTTGAAATAGACTACAGAACACTCTTCCAGTAAATCTGTCTTTCCTAATTGTGACTTATCTAGCTTTGTGTTAAAAATTAGTCTGCATTTCCTGAGCAGCTAACCAGCAAGATGTGAATGTGTTAGATAGCAAAAGGAAGTCAACTTGGTATCAAACATTTATCATCGACAAGGCTGTCTTTTGTACTTCTATGACTATGAGTACCTTTGGGTCTCCCAGATCAATAGAGAATATCATTTGTCTATTTCCTCATGTCTAATTGCTGACGTCCACAGGTTACAGAGGACCCCCAGGAGCACCTGGACCATCGTCTTCCCCTGGAATCAAAGGAGAAGTAGGAAGTCCAGGATTTACGGGAGAAAGGGGACCCAAAGGATGGGCAGGAGATCCTGGACCCCAAGGCAGACCTGGAGTATATGGACTCCCAGGAGAAAAAGGTAATTTTCCACAAAACGGATGAATGTCTTATCTATGTAACAAATAAGATTTGGTCATGAATGGAGAAGAAGGGCGGAGAGCAGATGCAGAGAGAGGATTAAACTGGGGTAATTATCATTTAACATTATGAGTGTAAAGATATTTAATTCAACTCAGCAAATAATTATTACGCATTGATTAAGGTCAAGGCACTATTCTGAGCATTGGGATAGCAGATAGGGACTGGACTTGCAATTTTATTGGCATAGAGAGCTGCTGGTAAAGAACTCCCTCTCCCAATGTAGGTGAGCTTCTTCTCTGCAACCTATGGACTTATTTTTTTTCTAAATGAAGCCATAGGTAGAAGTATTATTTCAGTCACATCCAATTCTATGTGACCCCACACAGGGTTTTCTTGGCAAAGATACTAGAGTGGTTTGCCATTTCCTTCTCCAGCTCATTTTACAGATGAAGAAACTGAGGCAAACAGGGTACCCAGGGTCACACAGTTAGTAAGTGTCTGAGGCCAGATTTGAACTTAAGAAGAACTTGAAACTTCTAAAGCATTGAGAGGGTAATTGACTTTGCCCAGGGTTACACAGCTAATCAGTGTCAGAGGCAGGACTAGGTCTTCCTGGCTCTGAGGCCACCCTGCCTCTCAGAACATTGTGCAGTGACAAAAATGAAACATTTCTTGCCCTTCAGGAGCTTGCATTCTCTCTGGGGGTCATTTCATGTATTCACTGATTCATGTGCACAGATAAGCAAACACCAGATAAATGAAAGAGGGACAGAACCCAAACAGCTAAGGGAATTAAAAAAGGGACCCCAAAGGAGGGGACACCTGAGGTGAGCCATGAAGGAAGATGAGAGTTCTAAGAGGCAGAGGTGAGGTGGGAATGCAGTCCAGACGTGGAAGAAGAGATTGTCTACCATGGCACAGGAGTGGGAGATTCAAGGCACTGTTTGGCTGGCGTAGAAGGTACGTGTAGGGGAGTAATGTCAAATCAGTCTAAAAAGGAAGGCAGAAGCCAGACTGTATGGAACTCTAAATGACATCGAGGGGCTTGTATTTTATCTGAGAGGCAACAGAAAGCCATAGAATTCTTGAGTTGAGAAGTAACATAGCCAGACCTGTATTTTAAGAAGGTTGTTTTGGCAACAGTATTGAGAATGGATTGAAGAGGAGACAGATACAAGACCAGCTAGAAGGCTATGACAGTAGTCCCCTGGAGACGTAATGAGGGCTTGTTCTAGGGTAATGGCAATAGGGCTGGAGAGAAGAGAACAGATGTATGAAAACTGTAGAGATAGAATTGACAAGGTTTGGTAACTGATTGGATATGGGAGGTAAGAAAGAAGTCAAGGACTTTTCTGAGGATGCCAAAAGGGGAGACTGGAAGAATATTGGTACTCTCAACAAAAATAGGGATGAAATGGCAGGTTTAAAGAGGAAGATGATGAAATCCATTTTGGACATGAGTATGAGGTGCCTATCGGACATCCAGGTGAAATTTTCCATTGAGTAAATAGTGATGCAGAACTGGGGAGAGCCATAAGGTCTGGGTACATAAATTTGGGAATTATCAGTACAGATGTGACTTGAATGCAAAAGACCTAATGAGATCACTGAGAGGGAGGGAAGAAGCAAACAGGTGCCAGGGCAGTCTTAGGAGACATCTGTGGTTAGGGCAAAGGAGACTGAGAAGGAGCACCAGATATGTAAAGAACACCAGAAGAGAGAAGATTCATGAAAGCAAAGGAGGCAAGGAAGATGAGGGAGGGTGGGTCAGTGTTATCAAAAGCTGAAAAGAGGTCAAGGATGAGAACTGACAAAAAGTCAAAGCTATTGCTAAATGGAATATAGAATGAATAAGAGATCATTGCAAACTTTGGAAAGAGCAGTTTCAGGTTTTGAAAACAAAATTACCTGTGTTTGAAAAGTGAATGGTAATTGAAGGATGTAGAGAGAACAAATGTAAGAGATCTTTTCTCAGAAGTCAGCTCTAAAAAGGAGAAGAGATATAAGAAGATAGCTGGAAGAGATAGCAAGGTTAAATGAAAGTTTTAAAGAATAGAGCAGACAGGCATATTTGGAGAGAGCAGGGAAGGATCCACTAGATAATGAAAAATTAAAGATGAGGGTGGGAGAAGGAATGATTGAAGAGACAAACACCAGGAGGGAATGGTGGGAGGACATGGATGACGTAGAAGGTTTTGGGGGTTTAGAGTAGAATTGAAGAAGGAGATTGCTCATAATCAACTGTCCCTGTTTTCTTAGTCAAGATACTAGTCTCCTGCTGCGAAGGAATGGTGTAGAAGTTTTGAGGAGAAAATAGTTCTGGAATAGATACTGAGGAGAATGTGCTAGAAGGTTATTCAGGGACAAAAAGAAGGTTTGCTGTCCAGCAGCAAGGGTGCAGTTGAGACTACATTACAAAAAATTGTTGTGGATCCATTTGATGTGATTGTATAACTTCCTCCAGCAGCTTTTGAAAGGATCTGAGCAGGAACAGAGAAGGCAAATGGTGGGAGTAATCCAACTTTGGGGTTGGATATGGGCAGCAATCAGTCAAAAGGACAAGTAATTTAAAAAATAGACAACATTGTATAGCTTAACTGATTTAATATAGGGTCCTGATTTTGAAGGATGGAAACTGAGGCCTGGGCAGAGGTGATGGACTGGAAAAAGAGGGAAGAAAAGAGTAACTGGAGGTCACATTGACATAAAAAAATAGACTTGGGAATGGGGCAGCTAGGTGGCAAATTGGATAGAGCACTGGGCTTAGAATCATAAACTCATCTTCGTGAGTTCAAATCTGAATTCAGACACTTACTACCTGTGTGACTCTAGGCAAGTCACTTAACCCTGTTTATCTCAGTTCATTCATAAAATGAGCTGAAGAAGGAAATGGCAAACCACTCTAGTATCTTTGTCAAGAAAATCCCAAATAGGGTCATGAAGAATCAGACACGACTGAAACAACTAAACAACAACAACAAGGAGTGGGGCAGAGGTGGGGATGGAAAGATAGGAGGTTGTGACCCAGTAGAGGAATTTCAGAATTCTGGCTTACGGAGGGAGAATTGATAGTGAGATCAAAAGCATGGCCATACTATGTCCCTGAGATGGGAAAATGTCGGTTGGGGGAGTTGAGATCAAACATATATAACATAAATGTGCCATTTATATTTGAAGGACCTAAAGGACAGCAAGGACTCATGGGATACCATGGGATAACAGGAAATATTGGTGACAGAGGCCCCAAGGGACCCAAAGGAGACAGAGGATTCCCTGGTAAGTATGTGTCTTCAGGGCTACAACCGATAATTTCTCCAGGGACACTGAAAATGGCAGCAGAGGCCTAAGTCTCTATGTGAGTTTACTCTCTGAGGACCTACAGGGGAAAATAAATAATTTAAGGCATCCCTGTGTATCTGCTGAGTTCTCAATTGTTCCTCATTTCAATTCAACAAGATTTATTGAATGCTTACAGTGTGCCAGGCGATGTAGATAATGGAAATACAAAGATCCCCCCCCAAAAAAAGGAAGTCCCTGCCTTCAGAGAATTTACATTCTTTTGTGGGGAGACAACAAGTACACTTATAAACATATGCAAAATATTTACAGAACAAATATGATGTGATTTAGATGGTGGGTGGTACTGAGGAAGACCAGAGAAGGCCTCCTAATATAGAAGTCTGCAAACCAAGAATCTGTTTTTGGCCTTGCTATTCCGACCACCAATGGAGATAGCTATAAAAGGAAATTAATAATACCTCATCCTGAAATAACCAAATATTAATACTATAGAGGAGATCACATTTGGACTCCACTTTAGAGTCATTTATAGTTCATAGGCACTTAATGAAGATTTGATTGAAAATAAAAGGAAGCAGAGGTGAAACTGTTGAAATTAATTGCTGTAGATAAAAGCATGCTATTATTACCTCTGGGAATCTGATTAACAACACAAGTGAGACTTGCCCAGTCTTTGCTTAAGAAGCCATTTCCCTTTAACTGTGCATTCTTAAACATAACACAATTAGTACTTTGATATGTAGTAATACTATTCTCTCACTCTGCGAAGAAAAGTCCTGATGATATCTGATAGAGGTTCACGTATTCTGTTTGCCAAGTTCTTGCTCAGATAAAGAGAGTTCTTATCTGTCTGGTTCTCAAAAGGTCATGTTTTTCCAAGTACAGCTTTGAGATCTGCTTTTGGCAACTTCCAGTAAACACAGGCTAGGGTTTAGATCAATAGCTAATTTTTCTTATATATGTTGGTATCATTTCCCCCCCTTCCTAGGCACTCCTGGTGCTATAGGATCTCCTGGGATTCCAGGAGTCCCCCTGAAGATTGCCACAGAACCTGGAGTGGCAGGTCCCCACGGAAGGAGTGGGCCCCCTGGAATACAAGGAGAGATGGGTCCCCAGGGCCCTCCAGGTGATCCAGGTAGGATCATGAACTAGAATTGAACTATGGGGGCATGAGGGAAAATCAGGGATGAAATGTTTGTCTTTTTAAAATTCATTTCTATGAGGACTTCACACGCATTACATACCTAGCGTAGTAATTTGTTTTCCATTGATTATTACTGATACTAAACTTGGTGGCTATCCAGGTTTACGAGGACTACCTGGAAAACCAGGACCCCAAGGAAGAGGTGGTATATCGGCCCTTCCAGGATTCAGAGGTGACCAAGGTCCCATGGGTCATCAAGGACCAGTAGGCCAAGAAGGTAAGCAATGAATATGCTTCAAGCATCCCAGAAGATGACATGATTGTTTCTCCCTTATCGACCTTGATCAATTTTGTTTTCAAAAAGTCACTATGCAAATGGACTGATTTATTCTTGGTTTCCAGGTGAACCAGGAAGACCAGGAAGTCCTGGGCTACCTGGCATGCCAGGCCGCAGTGTTAGCATTGGTTATCTCCTGGTGAAACACAGCCAGACTGATCAAGAGCCTATGTGTCCAGTTGGAATGAATAAACTCTGGAGTGGGTACAGTTTACTGTACTTTGAAGGCCAGGAAAAAGCACACAACCAAGACCTTGGTAGGTAGAGTTTGAACCTATCCAGTCTCCATTTTTCTGTAATGTTTCTTCAAAGTCTTTATGAGGTCTGTTCAATTATTTGGCACTGGAAGGGCTACAAGTCAGAGACTGAATGAGGTCTTTCATCACTTGTCAGTTATCTTCCACTGAATCATGGGTGATTACAAATATTTGTAGGTCAAGATAATAATTAATAATGATAATATAAAATTAAACTAAAACAATAAATAAGATAACTGATCATGAAAATAATTAAATCTTTCAAACATCCTAAATTTCATAACAATAATAATGGGGCATAAAATAATTCCCTGCCCTTTTAATACCAAGGTCATCTTCTATGGGTCCATCAGTGGCCTAGTGGCCCCTCTATGCCCTTCTTAACCTTTGATGTTTCCCATTTACATTTTTTCATCTTCTCAAATTTTGGTCCATGTACCACAAATGAGCCATGAGTAATAGAAATAGTTTTCAGTGCCACAGATATCCCCAGGGGGAATTGACTCTGCCCTTTGTGTAAGGCATTCCTGACTTCAGGAATAAGAAAAGAAGACTATACATTGTCACTAGGGGGTGGCCTTCTTTCTTGGTTGACTGTCCTGCTACATAAAGCTAAGAGAACTTGATTTGGACAGGAATGACCAGCTTCCCTAAACACAAAGGAAGACCTATCAAGTATAATTGAAGCTGTCAGGAAGTGCCAGTCTGGCAGGCCAGCTCAGCTGCATGTCCTGACTTCCCCCAGTAGCAAATAGCCTCTTTGAGGGCAGTGACTTTTGTTTTTGTTTTTGTAAAACTGGCACCTAGCACAGGGCCTGGCATATAGTAGGTGCTTAATCAATGCCTGCTGATTGTTCCAGTTGCCCCTCCTTTTCCATGGACGTGGCTTAGTAGGCTGCAGAAGAGTGTGTTAGCTAAATCAGCTTACCTAAAATAATAAACAAAGGCCTTTAGCCAGTCAGGCCAATTGGAATTGCAGAACTAAAAAAATGAATTGAATCCTATTACAAGAGTTACAGTAAGTAAAATGTTATACAAAGGCACAGTAACTTTTCATTTCAAGGACTGCTGTTAACCATCCTAGTGGTATGGTGTGCTCAGCTTGGGTCTCACACATTGTGCCAGTGATCCTTCAGAGGGGCACCTTAGCACAGCACAGTGCCTGGCACATAGGAAGATGTGTTTATTGACTCACTAAATGACCTTGATGATCTTCCTTCTTACTCCATCCTTGTTCTCTATCATTCAGTGTCCATTCTGCCTAAGCAGTAGGACAGGGTCTCTCCTAAACAACCTTATGAATAAGCACTTTCCCTAAGACTACTTGGAAAATAGGCAGCAGACCCAATGAATAAGGCAGTAGGTATACCATGGATCATTTTTTTTAAAAAATCTGTTTCTGCTCTGTTGTTTGGAGTTTTCATATATGCTTGCCAGGGAACTATTTTCATTTCTTGTTTTTTGGCTAGGCAATGGGGTTAAGTGATTTGCCCAGGGTCACACAGCTAGTAAGTGTTATGTGTCTGAGGCCAGATTTGAACTCAGGTCCTCCTGAATTCAGGGCCAGTGCTCTATCCACTGTGCCACCTAGCTGCCCCCAGGGAACTATTTTCTATAGGCCTGTTGACATAGGGAGCCAGAGAACAAGATGACATGGTAGGGAAGGATAAATTTTAGCAAGGATAGGTGGAACATACACAGATTTATCATTTAAAGAAGATTGGCAGATAGGAGACGGAATACTTCTTGAAGAGAATTGCAATGTCCTAAACCATGTTTGAAATCTGGAGCAAGGGAGAATAGTAAGCCCTAGCTTCCGTGTATTGTCATGCCTGGGAAGAATTCCTGCTAACCCAGAGCGGGTCGTCTGACCTCTCGGCCCGGCTTTCCTTTGGCAGGGCTGGCTGGCTCATGCTTGGCTCGTTTCAGTACCATGCCTTTCCTGTATTGCAACCCCGGAGATGTCTGCCATTATGCCAGCCGGAATGACAAGTCCTACTGGCTCTCAACAACTGCGCCACTGCCCATGATGCCCGTGGCAGAAGAGGAAATCAAACCCTATATCAGCCGCTGCTCTGTATGTGAAGCCCCCGCCGTGGCCATTGCTGTCCATAGCCAAGATGTCTCCATCCCCCACTGTCCCGCAGGGTGGCGCAGCCTGTGGATTGGCTACTCCTTTCTCATGGTATGTGATGCTTTTACAGGCTTTTTCTTATGTAGGAGAGAAGCAGCCAAGAACTGGCCTGGTAGGCAGCTGTTTGAATGTGGACTTAGGTAAGCATCTGAAAGAGCTGCCTGAATGTTAGGTGGGTTGTTAGGCAAGAGTGTGGTCGAGTGCAGAAATGCAGGATTTGGAATCAGATCTGGGTTTGAGCCTCAATTCCCCTACTTAGAGTAATCTTAAACAAACCATATAAACTTTCTCAATTTTCTCATCTCTAAAATATGAGAATTAGACTAGATAATCCAAAAGGTTTCTTCTTGCTCTAATCTTCTGTGGTTCTGCTAGCTGTGCTCTGTCTTAGCAAATGTGGAACTAGGGGTAATGACCATGAATTGCCAGGAGTTAGATATGAGGACAAATATCCATATGGTCTACTAGGCTTTTAATAATGATTGAGTAAATACAAGAGTAAATACAATTGAGTAAATACAAGTAAATACTTGGAGCTGGCAGAGACCTTAGAAGTCACCTAATCCAACTCCCTTATTTTACAAATGTGGAAACTGAGGCCCAGACAAGTTTAGTGGCCTGCCCACTTAACTATCGCAGGAAAGTAGTGGGAAGATTTGAAACTACCTTCTTTTACTTCAAATCTTGTCCTGTTTCCCCTGTATAACCCTGTATTGGAACAAGTTACACAGGAAGGAGAGCGTACCTTTGGTCACTCCAAACGTTTAATAGTAAGATACAAAAAGGCAGCCCTCAGCTTTGGCTACTTCAGTTTTGATCCTACTTAAAGGGGAGAGAATAGGTTGCTGGAATTTTTTTTAAAAATTTTTTTTTAAGGCAATTGGGGTTAAGCAACTTGCCCAGGGTCACACAGCTAGTAAGTGTCAATTGTTTGGTCTGAGGTTGGATTTGAACTCAGGTCTTCCTGACTCCAGGGCCAGTGCTCTATCCACTGTACCACCTATCTGCCCCTGGAATTTTTTTTGTTCCTAAAATTATATAATTAATCTAACTTATATATATGTTAACTAACATCTATAATATATAAAATTATATAATTATATAACAATACATAAAATATACATAATAATATATAAAATTATATAATTAATCCAAACTAACAGTGAAGGGAGAAACAGATTAGAGGAAAGAAATGTAATCCTCTATTCCTTAGTGCTGACAACCCCAAATCACTTCTATTTGCAAAGAACATAAAATTTGAAGTGGGCCCCAAGCTAATTAAAACTAGATGAGGATGGAGATCTGTTTAGGGAACAAATAAAATAAGTCTTGATACTCTTATGTCACAGATACATTCTGGTTCAGGGTGATTAGTATGCAAAGCTCTGTACAACAGAAGGCAAACTTTCTGCCTCTCAAGGAGCTTATCATTTGATATTAATTTCAAGGAATTCCAAAAACAATTTCTCTTTCATCTGGTGTCAGCCTCCACAATCCCTCTGTGAAACAGGTAAGGAGCAAGTTTTAAATTTTTTTTTTAATTCCCATTTTAAACTTTTAAAATCAAATGAGCTTCCTCCCTTCTGAAAGACTAATTACATATTATCCTAAGAAAGGTCAGAGCAGCCCCTTTTCTCATTAGCAATTACATTTCAAATTAACATCATTAGAACAGATTAATAGGATTTGCACATTTAATCTTCTGCTTACAACATCCCAATAAAGTGAGCTGGACTGAGTGTTCTTTTCTACAAACAACATGGAGTGATAAGACATGGCAGAGATCACAAAGTTCTCTGATAACATGCTGAGGGAGGGGATGGCTGCATGGTATATGAGGTCTGAAATTCCTAAAATTCCCAGAACTCCGGATAAATTGTCTGTCAAACTTCCAGGTGGATAAATTGAGTTTACTGTTTGCTCTATTTGTGTGTGTCTGTGTCTGCCTTTCTTCGTGGTAGGGTCTTAAATACTAAAACTGTCAGTGATTTTGTCTGTACAGTAACTACCCAGTGATCTTTTCTGTCCTTGATCAAAGTACAGTTCATTGTTGCATACTCATGACTCTTGGCATCATAGACTGATGGCAAAACAGAGATGAACCCACAAAGGGAAGATACAGCAGAGACAAATGGCCCTGAAAATGTTGCTCAACTGGATAGTTGCTAGCTAACCAATGCCATGGAATTAAGTTTGGAGGTTTGCTCACTTAACTGTCACGTGGGAGTAGTGGCAGAATTTGAATTCTGGCCCTCTGACTCCAAATCTAGCACTGTTTCCCCTGCATTGTGCAGGGAAATAGAAACAAATGGAAACATACCTTTAAATCCCATTTTTCTCCTTGGTGATTTTGAGCTAAATCTGTATCCATTTGTCAGGTACCACTAGGTACCCTAATCCCCTACACCTTCAGGGGATTCCAAGAACAGAAATTTAAGGAGGATCACCACTCTCCCAAGGCATATCCCAGAGAAGATGTGAAGAAATTCCACTTACTGTATCCAGTGACCATCATGTAGTCACTAAGACACAAGTGTTCTACTTTGCCTTATTCTAGGGCTTAGTAACCTAGGGTCTTTGGACCTCCAAGAGGATCATGAATAAATTTCAGGAGGTCCATGAACTTAGATAAGGAAAAAATACATCTTTATTTCAAAATAATTGATCTTTTTACAATCCTATATAATGTGTGCATTTTAAAACACTCTACTGAGAAGGGGTCTACAGGCTTCACCAGACTGACAAAGGGGTCCAAAGACAAAGGGTTAAGAACTCACTTTAGTGATTTGAGCCAGGCCTATTCAGCTTCTCTAGAAAAGCTAACAATCCTATGGTGGGACCTTCTCAATTTCATGCTGGTCAGCAGACAAAAGACCATTTTACTTTGCTTCCAAGTTCCTGAAACCTGGTATCGACAGCCTTCAAAGTTGGTGGCTATTAAATCGCGTCCTGTCAATAGAAATGAAATGAGATTGAGATCAAGAGACAATAAACTCTTTGAGGACAGGCACTTTTTATCCTCAGCATTTAGCAAAGTGACTGGAATATAGTAGGAGTTTAATAAATGCTTACTGAAAGCAGGATAGTTTTGAAAGTGACGCTAAAATGTATACATATATTTTTTGGTAGGGGGAGGCAATCGGGGTTAAGTGACTTGCCCAAAGTCATACAGCTAGTAGGTGTCAAGTGTCTGAGGCCAGATTTGAACTCGGGTCCTCCTTACTCCAAGGTCAGAGCTCTATCCACTGTGCCACCTAGCTGCCCCTATATAATTTTTGAAAAGCAAGTTGTGTATATTTCATGGTTTCATAAACTACAATCCTCTTTTCCTGTTCTACCTTATATATGGGAATGTTCCTTTTTTTTTTTAGTATTCATTAAATTCAGAAAAAAAAATTCATTAAATTTCATTAAATTGGGGGGGAGTATTTTTTAAAGTTTGTTGATTGAAAAAGAGTAATACAGCAAAACAAGACCCTTTGTAAAGTTACATTTGAGGGACAGAAATAGCCCCCAGCCTTCCAAGCTAATTATGTCATTTCAAGATTTTACAGAAAACCAAATGAGGCAATAAATGTGTCATATATCAATACATCAATATTTTATAAGTCCTATTTAAATGTCAACTGTTATTACAATTATGCTGCTCTACCCATGGTATATTTGAATGCAATCAGAAGAAGCCAGTTTTTGAAGTTTTACTGTAACACCTAAAATTACTTTAGGGTCTAGGTCCTTCCCTGCTCTGAGATTCATGGTACTTTACAAACATTTCTTTAACCTTACAACATTCTTTTGGCATAGATTATTATTCGGGAATTTGTAGATTTATGTCTACTATCCTTATTCCAAAGAGATGAAAGTTTGTATGTAGACTTTTAAACTATACTGCTAAATATTAGAAACAGAAATACTAGAAAGTTACTAGTCTATTATTTATATGCACATAGTGACAAACAATTCAGCAAAACTAACTAATGTGTCAAAAAATCTGACATTATGTGCACAGTATTCTGAGCCCAGAATCCATCTCCTCTGTAAAAAGGCAAGTGAGACTCCTTTGGTATGATTTGTTTTTATAATTCTCATTATTGCCAGAATTCTCTAAAAAAAAAAAGATGGCATTGATTTGTGGTTCCACCAAAAACATAATAGAAAACCTATTTCCTAGCTATCTTGCTAATATTGAATTTTATCATTTTAAGCTTTTTTTCCAATATTCATACAGTGGTGCCTAAAAGTGCTTTATATTTCATTTATCAGATTATTATAGTTTAAATACATTTTAAAATAATTAACAATTTCCTGTTTTTAAAATTGTTTATATCCTTAAACAATGAGTATTATTTTTCTAAACTTGTATCAATCAATAAAACACTTAATCAATAAACATAAGCACCTACTGTGTACCAGGAACTGTGCTAAACACTGGAGATACAGAAAGAGGCAGAAGATAGTCCCTACTATCAAGAAGCTTGTGATAGATTCAGAATGCTTAAGGTTAATACTACCTAACTTCTCTGGGCATCAACTTCTCCATAAAATGCTAAATCAGAGGGCATTTAAACTTCTTGTGTCATGAACCACTTGGACTTGTAGCAAACCTATGGGCCCCTTCTCAGAACATTTTTTGTTTCAGTTTATTATTTATTTAGTTTTGCATTGATTTTTCAAAAATTTTAAGTTCCAGATTCTCTCACTCCCTTAGTTCCTGCCCTACCCATTGAGAGGGCAAGCAGTTTATCAGTTATACATGTGAAGCCATGCAAAACATTTCCATATTAGCCATGTTGCCAAAAAGGAAAAGAAAGAAAGCAAGAAAAATAAAGAAAGTGAAAAAAGTGTAGTTCAATCTATACTCAGAGTTCATTGGTTCTCTTTGTGGAGGTGGATAGCATTTTTTATTATGGTTCCTTTGGAATTGTCTTGGATCATTGTATTAATAGAAGTAGCTAAGTCTTTCACAGTTGATCATCATTAAAATATTGCTGTTACTCTGTACAATCTTCTCCTGGTTCTGCTCACTTCACCTTGCATCAGTTCATGTGAGT